TTTGCAAAATTATTTTGTTAAAAAACATTCTGATTGTACACACAAGTAATCTGAAGTTGACATTAAAAAGATGCTTGAGTTTCTGATTGACAATATCTATGTGGTTTTTGGAGACCAGGTCTTCCAGCAATCTATTGGAATTTCTATGGGTACCAATTGCGCCCCGTTATTAGCAGACCTTTTTTTGTATTCATATGAAGCAGAATTTGTCCAAAATCTTGTACGTGAAAAGAAGAAAACACTTGCTGTGGCCTTCAACTCGACATTTAGATATATCGACGATGTATTGTCAATTAACAATGGCTATTTTCATTCTTATGTCGATACGATATATCCTGGTGAGCTTGAGATAAAAGATACCACAGAGTCCGACACATCTGTTTCATATTTGGATATTTTACTTGAAAAAGACGTTAATGGTAATCTAACAACCAAGCTTTATGATAAACGTGATGACTTTAACTTTTCAATCGTCAACTTCCCTTACTTATGCAGCAATATACCTTCATCACCTGCATACGGGGTATATATCTCTCAGTTGATTCGATACGCAAGAGCATGCTCTACGTATGAACAATTTCTTCAACGAGGTAAATTATTGACAAACAAGTTGATGAAACAAGAATATCAGCTGTCTCGTTTAAAGTCATCATTTCGAAAGTTCTATGGTCGATACAATGACCTTGTCAGCAAATACAATTTATCATTGAGTCAAATGCTGAATGACGTTTTTCATACTAATTGTTAGGCCATTATTTACACACTGAATTGTCGACGGATTTTTCCGTTATTTCCCGATCATGACAAGGAGCACACGGCGGGTGTGACCGGTCGACAGGGGATGCTTACTCCTCCATGGCACCTGATCCCACCTCTGATGTTTAGAGGTCCGTGTTTGCTCTGCTCCTATTTTGTATTGTTTAATGGACTTTTGAGCTTGAATACTGTTCGTTATCTCCATATATTTCATTTAAGGTTTGAAATAGAGGAAATCGAATTAGGTGCAAATATACCGCAAAGAAATATTTCTTTCTTGTTATAATTGGGTATGTATTAGATTAAGGAGACTATCCTTGTACAAAAACATTGTTCAGTAAAAATAAATAAAATTGATTTAAAAAAAACGTTGAACTCATTTCCCAAATGTTAAAAATACCTATTGGGGGGGGGGGGGTTGCTGGTCAATTCACTTCAATTCTTCACATGTTTAACCTTTTCTACAATCATTGATCCGCATTTTCAATGGGGAAGGGGGTATGCCAAGATTTTTTTTCTTTTTTATTTGCTTCACTATAAATATTCAATATAACTGTAAATTCCAGGTGAGGTCCGAACCTCCCCGACACCCCTATCGTAAATCCGAATATGAGCTCCACCTACACATTGAATTGTCTACGGTTTTTCTATTCGGACGATAATGACAAAGAGCACACCGCGGGTGTGATCGGTCGACAGGGGATGCTTATCCCTTCTTTGCCCCTGAAACAACATCTGATGTTGTTAGAGTTCCGTTATTACTCTGCTCCAAATGTATACTGTTTCAATAATTTTTGAACTTGAATAAGTTATCTTTATATTTCATTAAAAATAGTTTCTTTCCGTCAGTAACGCTTTTTTGTAAACTAGTAAAGTCATTTTATTTTCTCTAAAGTTGAAATTCTTGGTCATATTTTGTCTAACCCCCTTTTGGAAAATTCATTTAACCACCCTTGAGTTTATATTCTTGAATTGCTTTATACCAAACTAATACATGTATGTACTTAGTTCTAACAAAAGGAACAGCGACAGTTAAGAGGAGATCAAAAATGCAAAGTCAAGGAATAAAAACGAAGCAAGTAAAAGAGACACAAGCGAAGAACAGTGCGTAACTGGAAGGCAACACACAAACAACTAAGAGTGAATGACTGTGAATATTCAGCAATTATTGCGATGCTATTATATTGCGCATAATGCAACGTAAGGATCTCAATAAATAAATTTGGCATTAAATTTTGTACTTTGGTTACAACAGAGATTTATAATTCAGAGAGTTAACTAATACGATATTTTCGAACAGGTCAAGATCATACACATTTCAGTGATTATGAGAAATGCTAAAACATTCATGATCAAAAAACACTCCTTTTCTTAAAGTTACATATTCTAAAAAGAGACAAATGATATCCAAAAATTAGAATTGTGTTTTTACCACTTTAAATATTTAGATTTAATTAAGATTTCTGTTGTTTCTTTAGATTTTTCCTAACCTATGACAACCTTTGTTTCCGATAACTAAAACCGAAATTTCCGATAACAAAGTGAACCATTCAACCGCATTTCCAATAATATCCTGAAAATTAAAAAAAATGGCTATTTTTACCCTTTAATCACATCTTTGCGAGATTCTGACAATGTCATATTGTGGACAATAATTAATGTGAGGTAAATATAAGGATTTTGAAGAAAGGGGCTATATGCAGCAATGCCAATCGGCCAAAAACTTGCAAAATATAACAAATTTAACTTTTAAAGTCTTCTCAAGACTTACAAATACTATAATAGGATATATTGGGGCTTTATTTTGTATCTGTATTCATCCTTGTTCACAAAAAGCACAATCAACAGTCTCTGTTTCTATTTTTATAGTGTTTATTTGCAACAATTTGATAACCTGTCAAAAGTTGTTAGCCACCGAATGCCCGATCATCTCAGATGATTTATTTAGATAGAGATTTTTAAAAGTTTCAAATTTTTACTATTTCATGGATCTAAAAATACATTTTCATAAGTCATTTTCCACAGATTTTTTATTTAATTCTATCCAGTCAGAATTGACCGGTATATTAAATGAGCACCTTCATCTGCTATTTTTAATTATGATTGTAAATTAAATGATGTTGATTAAATAAATAACTATCGCCAATTATTCAATTTCAAGTCTTATATTCGTATATGGGTACATTGTAATCACAAACTTTTAGTCATTTCTATCGCTCTTTGACGCGACGTTACATTACAAAAACGTTCCTATTACATTTTTCAATCAAAACACTGTCATATTGCAATATCTATTTTTCAAAATGTATAATAGATATTGAAAAAAGGAAAACGATTATGAAAAGCTAAACATCTACATTATCTATAATAAACATTACATTAATTTTTGAGAAGAGGCCATTTTTTATGGTTCGTGGACTTAGCTCTTTGTATTGTTTAATTTTACAAATGTTGAGATTAAATAATTTAATTCTGCTTGTGACATGCTATTTCACTGGAAAGAAAAAAATATCATATGAACTGTGTTGCCAACACCACATTGATACAAAAAAAATAATATCATTGTTTATAAAGGGTATACTGTCCAAACACACCAGGATATACCGTATAAATTTGGTAGCTATAATTCATATCATAAACCAGAAATTTCTGATAAGGCTGAAGCACTACTGGTGTGTACTTGGTAAATTGCACTACAGTGTACTGTACGTATGTACCAAGTCTTACTGAAAACTGGACCAAAACTGAAGGAGTAATTAGCATTTTGAAAGAATTTCACAGAATTTTTTATAATCAGTTACCATGGCAACACCGTTTGTCGAAATCAAAAACCAGTAAATAAAAACGTGTATCTAAGTACAGTGTACCTACATGTATTTTTGAAATTGTAGGAGAAGTGGCATTTTGAAAAAAAAATGTTTATAGATAAGTGGACAGTCAGGAAGGCAGACATATGGATGGAACACGGACAACTGACTGTTTCACAAGTTTTTCAGGTCTCTGACCAGTATCGCTAAAAGTTCATTCAGATCTAATGCAGTATTTTTAACAACAATTCACCATATATAGGTTGATTGATTGTTTGCCGTTTAACGTCCCATTCGAGAATTTTTTACTCATATAGAGACGTCACCATATATCGGTGAACGGCTTCAAATTTAAATTTATTTCTTTATCGTACCGTGACACGAGACCTCGAATTTTTAAGGTCTTATCCAGTAATCGAAAGACCCGTGACTTTCACTTCTGATGCCGTGCGCTTGGCGAAGAAACAGTCACTACCTCAGTTAAGTCTAAGGTTTGACGCAGAGCCAGGAACGCGAATCGAACCCATCACCTCTAGGCTATCGTGACCACACCATATATAAAACTTCCATAGTTTTACACAGTTTAACATCGGAAATGTGCTGTTTTTATGCAAATTTGTGTTGCTATGAAAACAAAAAGGGGTCTATTTTTAAAAAAAATACTCAAGTAAAGTATTTGTAAGTTCTGTTTCAAATTTAAACTTAATTGGGCAACAGTAAGTAGAAAGATTTATGATTAACCTAACTGAACTGGTTTAGCCTGAATTTTCCCAATCAACTCAGTACTGTGAGTACTTGTCTGCAATAAGCAAGTCAGCACACAATGTTAAGATGCACTCCATCTGAAGACAGAAATTGCCCCCTTTTTTAAAACCAAATCTGGGTGTTTTAGGTATGCAACCACCGTTCCCATTTTTATAAACTTAAAGAGAAGCACTTCATTTTTTTAAAAGATATCTTGTAATTATGGCTGTGCGTCACAAATTCATGTTTATGAATATTCAATACTTTTATTACAGTTTTTGGACTATAGAAAAATACCACTGGAAGTTTATTTATTGATATGTGTAAGCACATGAGGAAATACTGACAAGTATATGTACATATGGTGTGTAAAACCTATTCAGTGGTAAGCATTAATTTTCTTTCATCTCAAAGGAATTCAATGTTACAAAACCCATTCTGAACAAGGCATTGTTTGTGAGGTATGATGTTTAATATTCGAATAAAGAGCTTCCATTTAATCTTGAGTAAAATTTTCAATCAATTTTGTATTAGACAACGATGGCATTCAAACATGATAAATGTTCGACCCTTTAGAATATCAGAGTTTGTTAATGCGTGAGAGTGACCGGGTTCAGGCTGGATTTAACAAAATCTATTATGGCTACAGAACCAGAATATATATGAACACTAAAATGCGTTTATAAGTGTAATCATTATAAACACACATTGTTCTCGCATCGAATCTTCATGCTACACAATGGTTTCCCTAAAAAAAAACAAGATGACATTCCCAAATATTTGCCTAAGCAGCCATTTTATGAATATTGTTAGGGTTACTTTGTTGGCAACATTTTTTCCTATTGTTAAAAAAGACCAGTAATCATTTATAAGAACACAGTTCAGGTGGTTGTGATTTGAACATAAAGCACTGTCAATTTCCTCTCAATAGCATTCAAATGCTGATTATAAAAAAAATCTGAATGATTCCGTGAGCCATCTTCTCATGAGGTTAATACGACCTCCTCCAAAATAGAATTTGTGTACTACAGACCAGGTCTATATAAGTAGTAGTTTTTATGACAAATTTAAACCTAAGACAAAGTACACATGTATCCAATCTTTTCTCTTGTCTTTTTTCCCTCGGAATCCATCTTGTCAAGCTGTCCATCCATGAAATCATCTGCGAAGTCCAGACACTGTTGTAGAGCGTCCATCAGGAGAAAGCCCACACCTAGAGTCAGCTTCGTCTCCTTTTCGAAGTTTTTTATCGGAAAAACATGACCACGTGGAAGACCCATCATTTCTCCCACTTTCTTTACAGCGTTAGCAATGGCTGTACTCGAGAACGTGTTTGAGATATCTTCCTCCACATCGGGACATATTTTGTCTAGTTTGGTCATTAGTACTACTTGTGGCAGGTCTAATATGATAACAAAAAATAAAATGTCATTTGGAATATTCACAATAATTGGTAATGTTTAAGGGTTTTAAATAAAGTTTTACCCTTTGATATAAATAATTAGAGAACATGTAAAATAAATGTTTCGATTTTTTTTTTTGAATTTTTTTTTTAATGTAAGCAACAGCTATTCATAAAAGTTCAGAATGATATACTATTTCGCCGTGCAAATTTATTGTTTTCATATAATCATGAAATTATGTGTATCTACATGTTTTAAATATTTCGTACTTCTCTGGTTTAATATGACTTGTAGATCTTTTATCTGCTTACGAACTTTGTCAGGCATGACGTCAATAGTGCTACCATCCACAACGAAAGCCACGCAGTGAATTTTATCAGTTAGATCCGGGCCTCTAATAAACCTAGGGCTATCTGGTGTAATTGGTACCATTGGATTGAACTACAAATGCGATGATTAAAGTAATTTTGAAATCTGCAAACAACGTCCGAGTTTTCAACACTTTGCACAATCATTCCCCACAATATATTAAAGACTAGGCTTTTTTGACACTACAGACACCTGCAGTTTTTTTTTAATTCAAATAATATGAAACACTCGTAAATAATTAAACTTGGTCATCTTTAAACTCATTTTGTTAAAGAAAACAGTTTTAATTCTACCTACAATTCTCCGTCGTTGATCTCAAAATAGATATTTGAGTTTCTTATAATAATAAAGAATATAAATTTTACTATTGGGTGTTGCATTTTTTTTTTTTTTTTTTTTTTTTTTGTAAAGAAACTTATTAAAGTATCAATACTTCAATGAAAACTTCTTGGGAACATTATATTACAATATGTAATATTTTCATGGAAGGTGTCACTTGACCATTTAATCAAAATTACATGAATGTTTTAATCTTGCAATTTTGCATTGATCATTTAAGATATAAAATAATAAGTAATTTTCTTAAATATGCATTCTAACATTTACATCTTATAACTTGACATATGATCATGACAATAAAATTTAGGATTTTATCTTTAAAACAAACTAGCTTATATCAAACCTTTTACAGAAAGCTTACACACAGCAGCAGGTCTTACAATCATTGTATGTTGCGAACAGTATCCATGTGAGTCTTTACATAAGATGAGTATAGAATTTAGAAAATTGTGAATTTTTGACATTCCTTTTTAATAAATCCTGCTTAAAATAAAAAAAAAAGAATATGAATACAGAAGATTCCTGCATTTCTCGACTAACTTGAAGTGCATGTCATCAATTGCGCACATATTTTTGGAACTAATAATTAACTACTCTTAAAATACAAAGAACAGAAGAAAAACTATAATATCAAATATATATATATATATATATATATATATATATATATATATATATATATATATATATATATATATATATATATATATATATATATATATATATATATATATATATATATTTATATATATATAAACGTTTGAATTTAACTTTTTTGAAATTTTGAAAGAAGCCTATATCAAAGCAAACCTGGTACTGATCCGGGACATTCCCATCCAAGATATAAGTTATTTCTTGTATATCCATTGCAAGTTCGTCCTCAAAGCCTCTTGTATCACACAAGCGAAGGTTAAGGAATTTTCCTGACGTGAAATCTTTGATTTTGTATTTTCTGAACTAAAATAACAGGATGATGATTATTATTGATTAAGTTTAAAAAAAAAATGAAGTAAAGATAAGTATTCAATTGCCTTTCTATCCTTTACATGTATTGCTTGTTTATCTCTATAGAGAATCTTTATTTTATAAATTTACATTTGCATTTAAGTGTTGTTTTTAAAAAAAGTAAAAGTTTTCCGTTTAACCATTTTGATTAAGTAATATTCTAATTTCAAGGTGAGTAAAAGCTGTGTTGGAAACATACTGCTGTTGTCACACTGTGCTCAAAGCTCCCACTGGAGGCTTTACTGGTGATTTTCCCCCGAAAAACCGAGTTGACAGAGTTGAAAAAGCTGGACTTTCCCGCGCCAATTTGTCCAACAAGAAGAATGTTTGCTGCAGATACATTTGTTTCTCTCACTGGTTTGTAATCGACGAGCAATTTCTTCAGATTCAAAAAGGTCTTAAACAAGATGTTCATAAATGCATAAACACTGCTGATATTATTTATTCATATTGTATATATTTACACAGTTCATGTATTTTTCTTATAAACTGTTTGGAAAGCTAATATGGACAGGGAAGTTAAAAAGTTTAAATATGATTTTTACATTGTTATGTCTGATACGATAAAGGCCATGCAAGTGCAATGTCAAAAGAGAAAATCATAATTAACGCTCACATTGAAGAGCTTTATGGTATCAGCTATTGGAATGGCTCTTCCATTAATTGTAACTTACCCAAAGGATAAAACAGAGATTTTAAAACATGTTTGCAGAAAGGTAAGTTAAAAATGTAAATGTAAGCAAATTGAATTTTTATTTTTTTAAAGATGTAATTCTGCAACGATGTGTGCAAGCAAATTTTAATAACGCGCTAAGGCGCCTTACTCAATCATTTAAACAGTTTGCCAAATACATGTCTATCAGTAAACATAAATATTTTTGATTTGAATATATTTCGATTCTCAAAATATGTAAAAGGAGCCTTGATACAGTTACACTGCCGTTTGTTGGCAACTTAAATTTCTCCCTTCATTCCAAAAAATTTCTTCAGTTTAATGACTAGAATCTACATAAAAAATTTTAAAATTCAATGACTTCAATTATCTTCATAGCATCACATCAAACACCTCCGTTTGTAAACATGGGCACGAGCACTTCATTGTTAAAGTTTACGCTTTACCTGGTGTGTTCAATTTGCTAGCTGCACGCATCACTGAACATGAACTTACAAATACTGGTTCACTGATATTGCTTTCTCCCATTTCTATTCTAAGTTTCTATTTCTAAGCTTAAATAATATATCGGTCTGAAATGCTCTAGAAACATGCTTTTTTTCCCCCTCCTTTTTTTAATACTAAGGATAATGTTTTACATCGTGGATATTCAAGGATGTTTGTCAATCAAACGCGTCCACAAACTCGCAGTTTAATATTTATTTTCAGATTAAAGAAGTTTCTAAGCAAGCTTAAATAATATATAGGTCTGAAATACTCTAGAAACATGTGCGTCATGATATTATACCAAAACTTTTAGAAAATATTAAATTCAAAACAGTGCCCAAGCCTCTCTAATGTTAGAAGGGGAATGAATCCATCATTAAGATGTCCATTCAACAAGTTTTACCTCATTACTCCCTTCAGGTGGTTCTCTCCAAAATTTGTCAGAATGCATTCGTCTTGTTTCCTCTAAAATAAACATTTAAGATGTAAGATTCCTATCAACTTATTTTTTTTTTACATATTCGGGTTGTATTTTGTTCTTTTTTTTATTTGCTTGCAAGATTCTAAACAAGCACAAAGTAAAAACTTGTTTTGAAACTTGAAACTTTTATTTTCACTAAAGCCCACACATGGGGTATGTTAGTACAATAAGATTTTAACAATGCGTTCTATTTCCACTATGGAATAGTTATACTTCTTAGTGCGCTCTTTTGTGAAAAAGTCGGAAAATGTACAAATCTCGCGGGATTTCTGGGACAAACGTAACATAAACATGTAAACAATATGTTGAATGTCAATGAACAGTTCCTAAGAAAATGCAAATGAAATATTTTATTGTTGTGGACTTTATAAACACCAAGAGTAGGTATGACAACGATATCAATTTATATCTATTGTTGATCGTATGTTTCTATTTATCGTATGGTACATCTAAATACAATACACATGCCTCGGAAATGTCGTATTTTTTATTAATGGATTATCAATTTAGGGTTCTCGCTCTCTTACATATGTCTTTTAGTTCTTCTATTCTTTAATTGGAATGACAAATACATTAACTTTTAAAATTGGATTGAGATTGGCATGTTTGTATTATCCGCCACGCCATGCTGTCCCAGTCAGACGACTAAACGCGCCTCTAATTTTGAAGAGTTCACTAACGGAAATAGAACGTATTAACGTTTACGATACATAGGACAAGGTTGACCGGTAACTCTCAGATTACTGTTTGTCGTTCTACATTGTTAGGTATAACAGTACTGAGAGGCCAGCGGTTGACACCCTGTTTGAACGATATTAAAACGGGAATAATCTTATGTAAAGATATCTAAATTGTCTGAATTATTTCCTGATCAAATTAAGGAAACTATTATTAACTTATAAAACATAAAAGTCTCCCTTGTTAAGTTCGTACATGTATCTGGGGATAATATATATTAAGCTTACCTGACATGTTTTCATTTCTTGATTCTTGGAAAATGACTTCTCTAAAAATGTTGAATTTTTTTTTTTTAAATATCACCTTCTTTCGATTTTGCGTTGCATTCTATGGCCTACCATTGTGATCATAATTCTGTATTTTTACCTATTTTAAGTTTAGTTTGCATTTATTGATAAATTTTCATCTATTTAAAGATACTTCAGTGTAATTAGAATCTTTGAAAGTCTTATTTTGCAACAAATAAATTATTTTGTCTGCGGGCTGAAAAGGGGGGGGGGGGGTTACGTAATTAACATCATAAATATTACTGAATTAATTCTTTTTAATCACTATTTTATGAAGAGTTTTGGGATATATAACAATTTAAGGTCTATTTCATAACTAACATAAGTCATTAATTTGGCACAGATGCACTTAAATATATAGTTAAATAATTTTGAAAAAAATAGAATAAGAATCACTGCATGGTGTCTCCGTCGTGTTTTATAGCTTAAACCTAAATATCCAACCATTTAATTTGTCAAGTCATCATTTATAAAATCTACATATATTTGTTAATACGGTATGTGTGGAAGTAACAGAAGTCTTCTAATTTATTAAATATTTTCTTATTTCTTTTTGTATATACACTCTGTAGTATATTTATATATTTGAAATAATCCTATCATTTTTTATAAAAAATATATTTAAAAAAGATCTTCTTAAAACTTATAAACTTATTGTGGCCCAGTCCTCGCCCTGCAAAATATGTTTTGATTTTCACTTCCTAGAGATTTTTCTAAGTTAGTAAGGCTAATTGTAGCCAATAGCTATGTACTCAAGGAGAATGTTTTCCCTAAATAAGGACAAATGTATTCAAATGTCAAAATTTATCCCCCTCTCTTGCCCGATCCCGACCATAATTTTAACATCGTTGGTTCTTCAATTCATTAAAATATTCTTATATCAATAATATCTTTAAATAAAAATTTTGGATTTAAAAATGATTTCCTCTAACAGTTTACAACAGGAGGCTAAATGCTTCGAAGTTTGACAATACCTTAGATGAAAATAAAATAAATCTGGATGTTGTTATTTCCGAAATCTTATCTATTACGATAAAAAAAATTTAGTGAATTTATAAGAATTCAGTTGCTATTTACTCCGAAGTGTTGTACATATAATCCGACCAATTTATTTAGACCGGTGGTATTCGGATTAGACAAATGAATTTTTACTGTACCATTCCATAATCAGAATAATTAAACTTAATAGAATACCTTGATAAATACAGTTTAGGAGTAACTTCATACTGGTAATTTTCAACGTGTAAAATTTCATCTTTATAGAGAAAATACACTCAGAACAGAAAGAAGAGATAATAAACAAGATAATCTCACCTTCCTCTCTGACATCAGTTGACGAAATTAGTGAATTCATGTCTTATAGCTTAACAAAAATGAAGCAAAATCAACGTTCGCTTTGATTCATTCAAATATTTTCTGGTTAACACAATTTCAGAATCAAAATAAAAATAATGCATTTGAATTTGTGCAAATTTTTAGACACTTTACCTGGTGCTCTTTGAATTCTAGGGTTGAATTTATATAAGATTTTGAGCATTTTGTTCTTTGTGTAAAATTAGGCAGTAACGTAAATCCCAGTTATCTATTTACACAATAGCGAGTTATATATTTTTCTAAAAGCATCTAACAAAATAGATTATACAGTTGTAAAACTCTTTATATTTTTATGTTATTGAAAATAGCTACAATGTACCTGAAAGTTCTTTCAAATGACGAATAGCACTATAAATGTGATCAGAAATGCAATTTGATCAACTTCCCTTATTTGTGTATTAATATCCAAACATCACATACATATTGTATGTACGAGTTCTTACTGATTCGATACGCAATAGCAAGGTCTAAGTACAATCAATTTTTAAACCGAGGTAAGCTCTTGACAAATGCGTTGATGTTATAAGGATTTCAACAACCCTGTTTAAAGTCAGCTTTACGCAAATTTTACGGACGTTAAAATGAACTTTGTTTGTAAATACAATTTATAGGTCGTCTGAAATTTTGTCTGAAATGTTTCCGATTAATTGTTAGGTCATTGCTTTTGTACCCAGTTTGACCGCGGTTTACTACGTATATCTGATCAATACATAGTGCTCACGATCGACAGGGTATGCTTACTCCTAGACACCTGATCCAACTTCTGGTGTTTTCAGTGGTCCTTGTTTTTGCCCTTTTCACGATTAGTTTTATTTACTGGATTGATGAAATTCATCATTGTTCCTTTTTTCACCTTTAATTTGTTCACGAACAGTAATCAAGCTCGAAAATCCATTGGAACAATACAACTTGGAAGGAGAGCAAATATGGACCTCTAAACCTTGATAGCTAGGATCAGGAGTTATGCAGTAGTACGCATCTCCTGTCGACCGGTCACACCCGCCCTGTGCTTTTTTGATGATCGGGTATACCGAAAACCAATGGAGTATTCATTGTGAAATAAATGACCTCACTCGACTTAACGATAGCTTGTACTTGCTAATAAGGTCATTACATCGACCATAGAATTTCAAAGATTGAATTTAAGCAAGATTTTGGATATCTTTGTATTATCAACTTATTTATTATAGCATGCCTCGTTCTAGAAATTGTTCGTATGTAGACCATGATCTTCCGTTTCGATAAACTCCACATGTACGTGATAATGGTATATTGCTACATAAATAAAGGAAGTTGGCGAAAGAATTTTGAAAACACCACTTTCATTCTGACGATTAATTGTTAGTATGCTATTTGTGGGTTTCGTAAGCAAAATATCCAAATATGAAACAGATGCGTTACACTGTGTGGTGTTTGTTTGTTTGTTGTTTTTTTTTTTTTGAATTTCAAGTTGAATGAGATAAATAAATATTATTTATAAGATACAGGCAATATATGAGCAAATAGGACTAGCTTTTGGGTTCACTAGTTTAAAAACCTTTTTATTCCATCGCGATATGTAGTAAACACTTCTCAAAAACTTAAAAAATAGAGAAAAAAAGCATTCACTTTCCTTGTGTTTTGTGGTGTTGCTTTTGATATTATTTATTGAAAAAACTAAATTTCGAATGGATTTAAAAAAAATAAAGAACGATTGCCACATGACTCCTCACATAACCTTAAAAAAATCATGATAGCGAGATAAAAAAAATAAATTATAATAAATTTCTTCAACGTTTTCACAGAAATAAATGCATATGTATATGAATTATATTCGTCTAACCTTCATTCTGCTAGAATGACCAATGCTGCATATCAATCACTGGACCGACTTAAATAGCACTTTTACTTATAATATAAGCTCATTTAAATTTGCTTATCCCCCCCCCCCCTCTTATTTACACACTATGGTGCTTGTGTTGTCCAGTTTTGCTGTTATATTGGAGCACCAAATGTTGAAGATGCAAATCTTTGAACAGTTCTAGTGAATGATCAAAACATAAAAACTTTAATCACGAAACTATGTAAACCCTAATAAGGAATGTATAAATATGACATCAGGGGCGTCGGATAGGGGGCGGCAGGGGTGGCGGTCTCCGCCCCAATAATTTTGAAAAAAAAAAAATAGAAAAATTAATTTTTAATGAAAAATACAGAATAACAAAATTAGTAATGGCGATATTTGTGGTCAATGGAGCGGCAAGAATAACGGCAATCTGTGGTCAATGGAGGGGCAAAGTGAGAAAGCTATTGTTTGTTTACAAAGACGCAAATTGGGATGTACGTATATATATACCTAAAATAGATACCTGGCATGTGTAAACAATAAGCATGGTATCCATCGCTACTTGCAAGTTTCCCACAAATTCTTCTTCAGGCCCATAACTAGCAACGTTTTTTGGAAGTTCTATGTTTTGGGGGAGGGGTGCGGGTTCTCTATTTTTTTTTTCTTTTCAAATGCTGGAATTTGTCCGAGATCGACCTAACAGCAAGAAAAAGTGTGTATGAAAGGGGGGGGGGGGCAAGCGGCGTCTAAATGAATGAATTATTACATAATCAAAACTTAAGCAAAAAGACTATTCTCAAAAAACAAGTGGTGAAAGTGGGAAAAAAATTGGAGCCCCCCCCCCCCCCCCCCCCCACTTCCTGACACCTTCACCCGCGTATAACAGGCCTGTTCATTGTCTAACCAATCGGTAGATCAGTGTTAGGAAATCTTTGATGAGTGAAAGTTGTAAGCTATTAAATTAATGCAAAATACTGGGTAAAATTACTATTTAAACAACTTCAGTTGATGTTTATAATGTCATACGTATTTCTGCATTTCAAAAATGGAGGTATTATGAGGAACTATCCCCCTGTTCATCTTAAATTTCATAATTATACATTCTTTCGGCAGGTAACAATAAATATTATACAATAATAGAAAATTATATGTATTTAATCTTTACCTTGTCATAAACCCTTCCAAGTTCTTTCTATGCCGTTTCGGAAAAAAATTAAAACAAACTCTCTCCTTGCTATTTAAAATTGACCCAGTTTTGTTTTATTATATGTAACTTAAAACACATTTTTTTTTGGTTGTTGTTGCATATTTAATTGTTCTTTTTTTAATCAGCATAATTATACCTGTCCTCCATAAGCTATTGACTTAAAGGGAAAATTATCAAGATTTTGGCAGAAATTTTAATACTTTAGTTTTTGTCACAGAAAGTTAGTTAGGACCCCCCTCCCCCACCTTTTCGATCCTGTTCGCCTCCCCAATGTGAAATATTTGCCGACGCCCCTGGACATATGATTCATTGCATTTGACATTTTACCGTCCGACTTCGCTTTGGAATTAGGAATATATTCTACATAATTTGTATTTCCAGCTTATTGATCAATAAATTGTCTTTTTTTACAAGTAGTTCGTTTTCCAACTTGACATTGTAATGATTAAAATTTAAGGCTAAATCATTTCATATTATTTTTCTTTAATTGTTTTCTACATAAAATCCATGGTACATGTATTTAATGGCATGTCTTAATCTTTTTCAGAAAGGACCATAATGATAACGAAGGCATCAGAAGACAAAATATATTTATTATTACTTTCTAAAAATGTACATTTGATTCTTATAAAAGCTGACGCATTTTCAACAGTCATGCTCTTACTAGTATCTAAAATACATTCAAAAATACCTTTATAAGAGTTTTACAATACAGCTTTAGGAACATCTTGCATCTTCCCATTGTTCCAAAACTGTTCACTGTAAAATATTTTGCTTCAAATAAAATATGCACAGTACATTAAAGTAAATTGTAGCTTTAATAAAAAATGAATAAATGCAATTCACAAAGATTGTACGGGATTTCAATCTTTTTCTCTCGTCTTCTTTCCCTCAGAGGCTATTTTGTCTAATTGTTCATCCATGAAATCATCTGCAAAATCCAGACACTGTTGGAGAGCATCCATCACTAAAATATCCACCCCTGTTTTCAGCTTGGTCTCACTTTCGTAGTTTTTCACGGGAAGGACGTGACCACGGGGAAGACCCATCATTTCCGCCACTCTCTCCACGGCGTCAGAAATGGCAGAACTCGAAAATGTGTTTTTGATATCTTCATCCACATCTGGACATATTTTGTCTAGTTTGGTCAAGAGAACAACTTGTGGCAAGTCTGCATTGAAGAAAATACTTAAAAACTTCATCACAGATGTCATTAATTACCTTTTTATTAAGTTTGTATATTATGTTTGGAAAAAAATATTAGATCTATCAACTATAATATAAGCTTTCGAGTTTTATTCTGGCTGAGGATTGACAAATATTAAATTAAAACTTGATTCGTTCACATGATGATTAATTAATTTATTGTAAAATAGCTCTAAGCAAGCACCAATGTATTGATATGTATAATTATACATGTATAGGATATCAGAAAAAATTAGAGAAGGATCTTACTTTGTGCACACACACACACACACACACACACCCTCACATGCATCACCGACCATTCGAGGACTATGACACCCCACATTCCTCCGAGGACTATACTTTCTAATTGAGATATTTTTTCAAGATTTGGTATATTTATAAGGTTTGGCACTAGATACACGATGGGGGGTTGCATTATGTTGTATTTTGAAAATTAAAGCATGATTTATTCACTATGCTTTAGAGGACGTTGTGTTAACGTGAGAGGACGTTGTGTTAACGTGAGAGGACGGTGTGTTAACCTTGCGAGGACGATGTGTTAGCCGTGAGAGGACGGTGTGTTAACCTTGCGAGGACGGTGTGTTGGCCGTGAGAGGACGGTGTGTTAACCTTGCGAGGACGGTGTGTTAACCGTGAGAGGACGGTGTGTTAAGCTTGAGAGGACGCTGTGTTAACCTTGCGAGGACGATGTGTTATCCGACAGAGGACGTTTTGCTTATGCCCCACAAAAGAGATGTAAACAAAGTTAGGAAACACATCTTCTGTTTTCAATCATTTTTACGGTGCGCTGTAAGAACGTGCGCTATGTGTGTTGACAATAAGGGTCATCATTCGTCATACACAGGCGGGGGGGGGGGGGGGGGGGGCTTGGTGATAGCGTCGTGAATCTTAATTTACATAGTTTTAATCAAAACCTTCTTCGACCCTTCAAACACATAAAATATTCATGTAGACCTCAACATTGTTCCAACCAGCAAAAGTACCGACTTTGTACTGTAGACCCCCAGACCCCCCCCCCCCCTCAAGTATTTCCCGGGAAAATGGTTTTAGAGGGGGAGTCCCCAGGAAAAACTGGATCTAGAGAAGGATTTCTACTAAAGAAAGCCAATATTTTCGAGAGATCATACAGAGCTTAAAAGCTATAAAGTGTGACTACCCCTCAAGCCAATTTGCTCTCCACCTAAAATTTAGTTTTCGGCTTGTTTTATATTTTTCGTAATTTTTGCCGATTAAGGAAAATAATAAAAGAACTTCAACACCCTTTTTTATCAATGCCGTTCCTTGATAGTACTACTTTAATAATAAGTGAACTTACAAAGGCTGATGATTTTAATGGCATTTGGCCAAACAAAAAGCATTATAGAACAGATATAAAGAGCTAGGTTTCCATAGTGTTCTTTTTCTTCCTTTATTTACATTCATGAAAATAGATATTATTAGATATTATAATTCATTACATGCATTTTATAATACAAAAGCAAATCTTTGAAAAGAAAATATAAATCTTTTATGGACATGCACTGCCATGTTTATCCTCGCAACAAAAGTCCATACACAACCCCCCATGGCAGTACATTTTGTCATTACAAAAAGTACTGTATAACAATAACATAGGTTTCCATAGTTGAATGTATTTACAATGTAGAATTGTCATATAATTTAATGCGTTATATTTTCTCCTTTTCTATATAGATTACAAACCTCTCTACGCATAATTACGAGAAATCATGTAAAACTGATTCATTATTTACTGGTTATCAAGTGAAATGGATTGATTTTTTACTCAAACTACAAGTATACTTTGGCCCCATGTTTTTTGAGAATTTTTGTTCCATCTTTTAAGTTAGGATGAACTTTCCCTCAAAATGAATAAATTATAGTTAAATGAATTAAAAAAAACACCAAGGAAAGAAATAAATAAAAATTAACCCCCACCCCACCCCAAAAAAGTCTTTCTTAATATTACATTATAGAAATTGATAATGTGAAATATTGATGATACGAAGCGATGCGTAATAAACTTGTAATAGGCGTCGGAACCGGAGGGAGGGCTAGAGAGGGCAGCCTCCCAAACTTATTTTTTCAAAGATAGACATAATATAGACTTTGAAAATTGGGGCATAGTCCCCAAACGTTTTTTGGGGGTGGGGGTTGGTTTAGTCCCCCTTTCAAATTAGCCCCCCTTTTCAATTTTTCAGTAAATATACTATTATTCTAATCTTAGTTTATTTTTCAAAAGAACGTTCTTCATTGAAAAAAAAGAACAAGGTTTCAGTAAATATATTCTGAAATTAATATATGTATATATAATTTAGTAGACAAATGAATATAGAAAGCTGTATATCACAGTACAGAACTATACATGTACATAAATATGGGGGTAATGTGGGCGTCAATATCCAAAATTACGTTCATTCATGCAGTTGCTACATGTAAGAGATATTTCCATGCGGGTGCTAGATGCTAATTCCATTCAGGTGCTATGTGCTATTCTGAGTGCATATGCTACACTAACTTTTAAAAAATTCCAAAGATAAACAAATAAACCATGTGAATAAGTGCAAGCAAGGATGCATATTTATAAAATATGCCAAAGAAGGTGAAAAAAAAATAGATACATACTTTTGGAAGAAAGCCCTACATGTAGGTGTGAAATCATGTACCCCATAAAATTAGACAGACCGCCTCTTTCAAGGAAACTGAAATTTTAGCTTAAACTCAAAAAAATTCATGTGACTGTATATTGAGTGTATATATGAAGAAAGAATAAGGAAAAATGACAAATGGTTAACAGAAATTAAGAATGCATTTGATCAACCTTGTTTAATTTTTTTTTTCAAAACTCCTATAGATTATGCTATAATCAAGCAAAGATTTTTTTTTAATGTGTACAGTCTAAACTCTTTAATAGTATCAAGCAAAAATGTTTCTGGCAGATTGAATTCTAAGAGAAATGTTATCCACCGGTCGTCACATACATGTACAGTATTCCTGGCTCGAAACTAAAACAAACAGAATCTGATGAAAGAGGAGGGAGGAAGAGTAAAGAAGTAGCCAAAGGCGGATCCAGCACATACTGGCGCGCGTCGGGCATCCCCCCCCCCCAACTTTGAGTTGTTTTTTTTTTCTTTTTGGCTTTCGTAAATTGTGTTTGCTTAACTTGTATACACTTTTAATTTATCCACACGTAACGACCAGGCACATAGTTTCAGGACTAATGATGAGCTAGTATCCCTAACCCAGGAAATACGATTTTAGAGTTTGGACAATTTTTTCTTTTCTTTATTTTGTCAAAGAAAACCATCCGTGAACTGCTCTCCTCCTCCTTCCTTTCTAAAATTTTGGATCCGCCGCTGTTCACTTCTATCCTAAATTCATCTAAAATTTTGAGTAAATACGTAACAGCGCTGTCATGTAATTTGAGTGATTCATACAGCTTTCCATCATCGCTAAAATTAAACACTTCTGTATTGTTAATATTTTGTAGTTATTGTACAGTTTCTGCTCATTTACAAATTGAAACGACCACGAAGTGTTTGTATCGCAGTTATTGTATGTGACTAATTCCCTGGAAATCGTTATGAATGGACTAATCCCCGTGCGTTAGTCAAATGAGCTAATCCCTCCTTCGAAAGCTAATTCCCGGTTATCCGAAATGATTTTACTTTTACATTGGTATGATATGTGAATGGACTTATCTCCGTGTGTTAGTTCAGTGAGCTAATCCCTGCTTTGAAATCACGCCATCCGAATCCTCTAAATTTTACGTTTGTTTCGGTATAATAAAACAGTTAAAAGTATATCATTGAGGGAGTTAGCAAGATCCAGTTCCCCTCGACCAGGACTATTTCCCTCGGCTTCGCCTCGGGAAATAGTCCTGGCCTTGGGGAACTGGAATCTTGCTAACTCCCTCAATGATGTACTTTAACAGGAATTTAACAACCGTGACAGCATACTAATACTTATAGATTCAGTACTCACTAGGAAAAGGTGATTGGTGCATGCGGTGCATGTTACATTGCATTGGTTAGCAAAAATTACAAGATGTTGCGCTTAACAACCCAAATCTTAATATAAATCAAACTATTCTTAAATACATTGATTTGATATAAACTGGGATAAGGACTGAGATATGAGCGCACCAATTTGAAAAATCTCCAAATTTAGTATTTAGAATTTCCTTATTTACTACGAAATATTAATTGCCGGCAGAACTTTAACATTTTTATTAATGTTCTGAACTAGATGTTTTTTTTTTCCAATATCAAGCGGTGCATGCAGTGCACATGTAATAAAAAAGGAAACATCATACAAGACTTTGTAAGGGACTAGAGGATATTATACATGCATCTAAAAAGAATTGGGCATAAATCAAATGAATGATACAAAATTAACTAGAAAGGGGTTACACTGACAGACCCCTTTCCTTCTTGTAAATGCATGTACATTTTATGAATTCCGAAAGCTCTGCGTTTCCTCTCCGTAGGGGGTTGGGGGGAAGGTTATTTGACTCTATAAAGTTTAAGACTGAAAATCCCAGGGGTAGGTGTACGGATTCCCTCATCAGCTCTAAATCCTAACTGACTATTGATCAACTAACTGATAACTAATTACAATGTAATTCTGAAACCAAAAGTAGATATAGTTGAACAGGAAGAAAAGAATTAATTTAGGTACGTGAAGATGAGTCAAAAATGAGATACTTAGCCCCCTCCATTTCCCGGATTTCATACAGGTATAAACTTTCATGTAATTTAATTTAGTCATTGAATATTTTTCAAGAATTAGATGAATTGTATGCTGTTAAGGGGTTGAGATGATGGAAACCTCAGTGCATGTATGACGTAATGAACATTCGAAATTTGCAACTCACATAATTATATTGAGTGCAAAAATTAAAATTTTAGATTCTCTTTCGCATTCCCCAAAATCATTTAACAACCACTATTATAATGACGTATA